GAAAAGTCCTGGCTAATGGGGCACTGGTGTAGTTGCGATATGACTGGCAAGCCGACAGTGAATTTTTTTTTTTTAAACAGGTACTGCAAATGTAATGTATTATAAACGGACGGATCAGATGGTTTTCGACTATATCAAGGGGCTACGGGATAGAAAGGCGAACTACCAAAAGAGGAAATGGACGAAGAGTACGAGGTAGACCAAGAACAAAATGGAAAGATAACGTCAGAGAAACTCTACAACTGCACATGTGTCTGTGGTCGCGGCTACCAGAAAAGCAAGAAACAGAACCTGATATCTCTATCGAGGAAGTGAAGGAGAACAGGAAGTACTAACCATAGCCCTGCGACAGCTTCTTACATTTGTTGACAGTAATGATGTAAACGTACCTCGCCAGACCCTGTATTTTGGGAGTCACCGTGGTGTAGCGGCTAGACGCTCGCCTGTGGATCGGAATGTCGTGGGTTCGGTTCCTGACGGAGCTGGACTTTTTTTTCTTCTTTAAAACGACCTTAGCTCCCAGTTTGACCCAACTTGACTGGGTATCGGGTACAGTCCTGTGATTTAAAGGCGGCGGGCGTGATGCTAAAACCACATCACCCACAAAGTGCCGAATGGTCTATAAAATATAGGTCTAGCCCTATATGCCTAGTACGCATGAAGCATGGAAAAGAGTACTTACTTTATTTTACTTTAAAAAAAAAATGAAATGTAAACGTGGAAGAAAATGAGGCCTCGCCATGTAACATTCACAGGAAACCGCGGTTAAGTAGACGTTAGCCTGCCGGCCTGAAGGTCTTGGGTTCGGCTTGAAGTCGGAATTTGGCTCTCTGGTCGTCCCGGCCTACAGAGGGGTGCCAGACAATGTCGTAGGAGCAAAGGCGGGTGATTCATGTTGACAATATCCCCCAATATCCCCCCATCTAGCATCCTATGCCCTTAGCAACACTGGCGTCAAGAGGGACCTTCGCCTATCTTAATGTTCCCAGTCACCTTTGGATATATTGCAGCCAAATTCGATTGTGGAGATGATATAATGAAATAAAAAAAAAATAATAATTGCAATAGACTATATTACGGTTGCCCCAAGTTATCTTTTCATCTCTCCCCCCCCCCCTGTCTTAATCTTCCATTGTCCCCATATCGGTTTTTCCGGAACGTGGGGGAAAAGGGAGAGAAGGGGTGGGGGGGGGGGGAATAGACCCAGTGCCCCCTAACAGGCATTTAATAAAATTCAACTAATTAAGGATATTTCAGAGTCGGAATACATCTACTTGAGACACGAGAAACCAATATTCTGCATACAAATAAGTGAGGTCTGTCTGTAAAACTGATGTACATGCAAAACTCAGGTCTGGAACAAGACTAAAGTCCATAAGTTGATGAACAGCCAGAACTTTCCGCCGGAGTTAACAGCCAGTGAACGCGAAGAGGAGACGAAGAAGATCTTCATAGAAGTATAGACTTTCAGCTAACTCAGCCGTGGTTTTTCTACCTGTTGACACCGTACACACTTTTCTCAATGTCCTCCAAATATGACTCATTTGCCTCTAACGCTCCCGCCCCTCCCTACCAGGGTTTTTCTGAACGTAGTTCACCATGATTTGTTCTCTTAAAGCACACCACCCCCCCCCCCTTTTTTTCATATTTAGAGACACCAGCAAATCTAGAAATGACTCCCTTATTTCAGGTGTACTCCAACAATCGATCAGCCAGACAAACAATGGTGCCATACAGTAGAACAAGGCGTTTCCGATGAGCACAATCAGTACTAACAACAGCTGAACCGTTTCAACTGCCTCGTCACCAATGCCACTCCACAGATGCAAGTCTCTTCCACTGTTGTGGAATAGAGTGGGGCTGCATAGAGAAGACATTGCCACCACCAATGGCTCGAGACAGCAGGTGGTGGAATCATTGTACAGCTTCCGTTTAGAAACACAATGGGATTCGATAATATTAGATTCTGCAGCAGTAGGCTAGACGCCTCCGTGGCATCGAGGTTAAGCCAATGCCTCGCGCTCTGGATGTTGCGGGTTCTGTTTTTTGATCCGTCATTCGGTTCGGGAATGCAGTTTCAAAGGAGGTCGTCTTTAGAGTTACGAAGTGCGAGCGAGAGAACGGTCGGTCTGCTAGGAGGAGAGCAGGTCAAACTGAATAGAATTGGAGACATTTAGGATAAAACCAGACGCAGTGAAGTAGATCAACTTACATTTAAACACAATATTTAGTAGTAGACGTCCCCAACAATCGATAATAATAGACTACACGTGAATAACAGACTACATGTGCGCGCTGCTCAGTGCACCCACATCATCTGGTTCTTATAAGAAAACAGCCTTAAAAAACCCCTGCTAATTACTGCCTTTGTTATACTACTTTTACGGTGTAAAAAAAGGGGGGGGGGGGGGGGTCTTGCCTGAGGATTTACGGCCGTATGGCTAGTGCTGTTGCCACGACTGTGCAGGTGAGGATTTTATTTTGCCTAAACAGTGATCACAAAAATGGGAGATAAGGAGTCTCAGAAAGCAAGGAGGTCGAAAAGAAACCCCAAAAACACACGTCGATGAGAGAGGCCAAAGGTACTGGACTGGATTCATTCACGATATCGAAGGGATTGCTCAGGATATGACAGAATGGAGTAACAGATTGCTAGCTCTATGTAACATATAATGGCACAACAGGAGAGTGATGATGATAAGTTATGGATCGTCATATTTATCTGCTCTCATATTACCAAGGTAGCCCACGAAGTATGGCGCTGACACAGATTGTTCGCCGTTCAGTACTAGTGTTTCATATTCTGTCATGATTGTAACTGACTCACAGAGCATGTTGAGAAATGCCAAGACAGGCATGCTCTGTGCAGAGTGGCAAGCATCGTTTCAGAGGTCCCGGGTAGTTAGCGTGGATATTTTCTTCAGGTTATGCTGGGGGGGGGGGGGAGGGGGGGGGGTTAGGGCGCCTGAATAGTGGGGAGGCACAACACGGTCTGAGGAGAATGGCGCTGCGTGGAGTTATCAAAGGATCTGGCTGACGCTCAACACTCAGGAAAAAAGCGAGACGGATGTACAATCGGACAGTTATTGGTACCGTCGGAATTGGAACTCTTCGCTTGCTGCTGAAGATGGAGACTTGTGGGAGTGTCCCGAGTGATGTGCTGTTGATTCTTAATTCAACATTCTGTTGTGTGACCGATACAGCAGTTATCATTGGGACTCCATACGCATGCCATCCTTATATTTAAACAAGATCGTAACAGACTATATTCATTTAACCATTTTATGTCACCCCTCTGCCTCTACACACAGGTTTTCACTGGGTGCTACTGCCATGTTGATTTTGTCTCGCTCAGATCAAGGTACGCCTGTTTAAACCGCCATAGAGCATACAGATAGTGCCTGGCCGACGCGTCCTTTTCCAGGCATTTAAAATGCCTCGTCTGGCTTCCATTGCTTGCTTAAAAGGCTATTGATTTTGTGATTGGTGGCGCTGATAAAAAACCCACCTTATCTTGTGCTTAGCGCTACCAATAGGTGAAACTAAACCGGATTAGGGATATTAAAGTTTCGTCCTTTTTAGGACGCAATTTTTTTTTTATTTGAAGCCCCACCCTGGCTTTTGCCAGGGGTCGCAATATAGGCAGGCCATAAATATGGACAATTGTCTGAACGCAGTTGCTGGGACCTCTCCACGGCGATCCTCATCCACATGGTGGCACTTTGTGTCATCGGGTGTTTATCGCTTGTGTGATGTCCTAGTGGGGTAGAAAGTCAGTCAGTCAGTCAGCGTCTACCTAGAAAAGGGTGGGGCGGGGGAGTTGTGACATATTTAAGTGTAAATACCTCCTCTGTGTGTGTGTGTGTGTGTGTGTGTGTGTGTGTATATATATATATACCTCTCTCTCCTCTCTTTCTCCACCCCCTCTCTCTATGTACACACACACACACACACACACATAGATTGGGTACAACAACAACCATAATAAAAATGTTTCAAGTCATGCCTCAGCTGCAGCAACTACAAGACGCTCGATGCTGACCCACTGACGTCAAAACCTGACCACGCGACGTTGTGTTACCCAGTAAAGAGGAAGTCTCTTTTAGGGAGAAGAAGATACACGTACTTTACAATTTTAAAGAAGCATTAAAGGCGCCGCATGAAAGTATAGGGCTATGTTCAGCCTGACCTATTTCATGGCCCAGTAGCCCCAAATCCACATTCAGACGGGTGGCAAACTAGAACATGCAAGACCAGACCGTCACCACAACAAATCAGTATAACTGCAGCATTTACATAGAAACATATCTGTATCTCCCCACTGAACAAAAATTCTGTAGGTTGGGTCCCGTTAGAGACGCCAGCCTTACAAACACTTGTTTAAACATATCTGTTAACACATGCCAGCGGCCAGCACTTTCTCTTGTCACGGTTCACCAACGCTGGCTAAGGCTACTTTGGTGCCTCAGTTGGTAGTGAGGCATGACGACCGCCTCGAAACAGACATTAATTGTTCATAGAAATGTTTGAACTCCGACAATTAAAACCAATACTGTGAATGACCTTTATGATAGGGTGTCAACTCAAACTTTCATAAAGCGCATAACCTTTGGGGGGAAAAAGGGGGGGGGGGGGGGGGGGGGGATGGGAGGGGAATTTCCAAATATTTGATGGGGAAGGAAGGTAAAGATGAAAGAGGTTGATCACATAAACCTCAGACTTATTGTGTGTGTGTGTGTGCGTGTGCATGTGTGCGTAAGGGCCTAACACTCCACACCCTTGTTGGGCAATGCCTGCATATTGTCACCACACCTACATACGTGCGCACACACGCGCACACACACACACAACTCACAAACTCTCTGTCTCTCTCTCACACATTCACCTACCACCACTTTAGTTTGGCCTCATATTTTCCAAATAGTTAACATTACAACGCTACTGGTTCTAATGCATATTGTAGATACACAATAAACAGAACTTTTGTGTCTGCTCCACAGAAAGGCTACAAACAATGGCCCCTATGGCTGCCCAGGAAACAGTATACACATGGTTATGTTCATTTCTTAAAGAAAAATAAAATAGTGTTTGGTCGTCTTGCTCACTGGATGGGAGGTGAGTGATTTCATGCATTTTCTGTGATGCCCACATATTTCCTTTTGCATAACATGCACACACCTCTATATCTAATTGTATAGACTGTATCTATCGGTGTACATGTGTATGTCATTGCACTTGATGTCTGTGTCAATCTTTGCAGCTAATGTCTTTGTCTATCCTTGCAGATCATGTCTTTATCTATTCTTGCAGCCGATGTCTGCATCTGCCCTTGCAGCCAATGTCAGTATCTATCTTTGCAGATGATGTCCGTATCTATCCTTGCAGGTGATGCTTGTATCTTCCCTTGCAGTTGATATGTGTATCTATCCTTGCAGGTGATGTCCGTATCTATCTTTGCAGGTGATGTCCATATCTATTCTTGCAAGGGATGTCCCTTATGTGTAAAACCTGTATCTGTCCTTACATTTAAAATCTGTGTGTCCTTGAAGATAAAGTTTATGTATGTTTGTGAAGGTGTGATTTCTTGATACCAAAGTGACCAGTAATGTTGACCACAATATACTGATTTACCAGCAAACCATGAAAGGTAGCCTGCAGTGGTCTTTGTCATATTGTCTGTTTACTGGTCCATCTCTAGAGCCTGTTAAATAGGCCACTAGTGATTTCTGAAGGGAAAAAACTCTCTGTCTCCCCAATTTAGGTTGGCTGCAGTGCATCCACTGCTAACTAAAGGAATATTATGCAGTAAAGGCCCAGACTGTTCCATGGTGTGACTGTTTTACCATTGTCTGGAAGCCACAAGAACAGTCTTTTTCTAAACCACCCATCAGGAAATTGAACCTGGATAAGTGTCAAGGATTGCATTATGAAACCATTTCAATATCCACTAATTCACAGAGCCATTGTTCTCTGAATTAAAAAGGTTGTCCTTAAACCTGTAACCTTAAATATGTTGGAAATATTTAATTCCTGCAGGTGATGTCTATGTACCTGTGTTGTGGCAGGCCCCACTGCTCAAGTCTAATGACAAGTTCCCTGTGGTGATCATATCTCACGGCATTGGGGGAAACAGAACCACCATGTCCACCTACAGCTATGAGCTAGCTTCCCACGGTTTTGTTGTGGCTTCTTTGGAACACAGGTAAGCATATTCTTTGGAGATGTAAGGGTATTTCTGATCATCTACATAAGCTGGTCTTCATTTACTTGAAGTTGCTCCTGATGCGGTTGCCCACATTTACTGCAGTTTTCCCCATTGCTCTGTAGTCAGGATGTTTCTTAATTGTGGATATTGACAACTGTTCTTATGGCTTTTTGACAGTGGTATGAGAGTCCCACTGGGGAAGAATTTGAAATTTCATCATGTAATATTCCTATTGACAGCAATGGGGGCATTAGCCAGCCTCTATCATGGAGATGGCACTCATTTAACAAAATATGTGATCAGATCAGTTCATCTTTTGCAGTTTTGTGTGACTCATTTTTTCAGAAAAAGACAAGTCATCATTTTTTGGTTATGTTGTGAGAGGAAGGCAACTGGATCATGTTGTGACGACTGAAAAGATCTGGTAAAATAGAAACAGGAGGACAATGCAAGACGATAACCTTCTGTCATTGCACTGAGTAGTATCAACACAGGAACTGTTACAAGTTATTGAAGATTGTTGTGGGACATGATCGCCTGCGTCAGTCGGCAAGGCACTTGATGACGATGAAGACTAATTTTATTCATATTCCATCACCCACAACCATGACCATCACCATCCACTTCTGCCACCTCCTCGTCATTGTCACCGTCTGAAGCCAACTGACAATTACTGTCTTTATTATACCACTTTTGCAGTGCAGGAGGGGGGGGGTGGGGGGGGGGTGGGGTCTTTGAGCCTGAGAATTTACGGCCGCATGGCTAGTGCTGTCACCACGACTGTGCAGGTAAGGATTTTATTTTGGCCCTGACAGAAAAAAAATCCCCAGCCTTACCAAGGATTTCAACTCAGGTCTCCCGCTTGAGAGCCCAGCGCTCTAATCCTTCAGCCGGCCACTCCTCACCATCTGCAGCATCATATGAAGTCAGTAAGTGGGAGAAATCATGATGTGTTTATTAATCATCAAAATCTCATATAAGGTTTTTGTTCTCCTGTGTTAAATACAAATGTTCTAAGGATGTACAGCAGTTGTCTAAAAATACATTTGCAGGGATGGCTCAGCATCGATGACCATGTGCCTGACTGAACAACTTGACAGCATCATTAAAGAAGTTGTCGACCACAAAAACAGCCACAACCACTCTTATCCCTGCGGCTCAGACCACAACAGCAATGATGAACAGTTTGCTAACAGTAATGTAACTGTTGATCGCAAGGTGAAGCTTTACCTCAGCGAGGAGGAGGAAACTAGAGAGAGTGCAGGAGGCCGGGGCTCCAGGGTCAGACAGAGGAGAGAAAACAAAAAACGGTCACTCCGCCACAACCTTTCCTGCACAGAGGAATGGCGTCCTTTCCAGCATGTGCAGGTCTGGAATGATTTCGACTATCGGAACGGCCAGGTGAGAGAACTAAAAGATTTAACTCATTATTGAACCAGGGGCTAAAGCAGGGTGATAACACAATAATGTGGATGGTTAGTACAGGGTGGTAGCTAACAAAATAATGACGGTCTAGTAGATTTAAAATGGGATGATTGCAAGAGGGTTGAAAATATAAGAGAAATGTCATGCATACTTGCACTGCTGACCCACTGGCTTGCATACTTGCACTGCTGACCCACTGGCTTGCATACTTGCACTGCTGACCCTCTGGCTTGCATACTTGCACAGCTGATTCAATGGCTTGCATACATGCATTGTTGACCCAGTGGCTTGCATACTTGCACTGCTGACCCTCTGGCTTGCATACTTGCACAGCTGATTCAATGGCTTGCATACATGCATTGCTGACCCAGTGGCTTGCATACTTGCACTGCTGACCCTCTGGCTTGCATACTTGCACAGCTGATTCAATGGCTTGCATGCATGCATTGCTGACCCAGTGGATACTTGCACTGCTGACCCAATGGCTTGCATACTTGCACTGCTGACCCAATGGCTTGCATACTTGCACTGCTGACCCAGTGGATACTTGCACTGCTGACCCAATGGCTTGCATACTGCACTGCTGACCCAGTGGATACTTGCACTGCTGACCCTCTGGCTTGCATACCTGCATTGCTGGCCCAGTGGCTTGCATACTCGCACTGCTGACCCAGTGGATACTTGCACTGCTGACCCAATGGCTGCATACATGCACTGCTGACCCAGTGGCTTGCATATTTGCACTGCTGATCCAATGGCTTGCATACTTGCACTGCTGACCCAGTGGCTTGCATACTCGCACTGCTGACCCAGTGGCTTGCATACCTGCACTGCTGACCTAGTGGCTTGTATACTTGCATTGCTGACCCAGTGGCTTGCATCCTTGTACTGCTGACCCAGTGGTTTGCTTACTTACGCTGCTGACCCAGTGGCTTGCATATTTTCACTGCTGACCCAGTGGCTTGCATACTTGTACTGCTGACCCAGTGGTTTGCTTACTTGTACTGCTGACCCAGTGGCTTGCATACTTAGACTGCTGACCCAATGGCTTACATACTTGCACTGCTGACCCAGTGGCTTGCATACTTGCATTACTGAACCAGTGGCTTACATACTTGTACTGCTGAACCAGTAGCTTGCATACTTGTACTGATGATCCAGTGGCTTGCATACTTATACTGCTGACCCAGTGGCTTGCATACTTGCACTGCTGACCCAGTGGCTTGCATACTTGCATTACTGAACCAGTGGCTTGCATACTTGTACTGCTGACCCAGTGGTTTGCATACTTGTACTGCTGACCCAGTGGCTTGCATACTTGTACTGATGACCCAGTGGCTTGCATACTTGTACTGCTGACCCAGTGGCTTACATACTTGCACTGCTGACCCAGTGGCTTACATACTTGCACTGCTGACCCAGTGGCTTGCATACTTGCACTGCTGACCCAGTGGCTTACATTCTTGTACTGCTGACTCAATGGCTTTCATATTCGCTTTGCAGACTTAGTGGTCATAGGTTTCAACCTTTATCTAAATAGATGTTTAAAATGAAACCAGGAAGTTTTCTGCAAAGTAAAGTTGGCTGGTAGGATATTGACCTCTTCACCAATGATTTCTTATTGAACATTGGACTCACATTATATGTCCAGTATGCCCTCATTCAGTGGGCTGCTGATAGTTAAGACCTTCAGACCACTCTTATTTTCAAAGGTCTGCTATGGACTGCATACTTTTTAATGGGTCTCCAGAAGTACTTTTAATAATTTTCTAAATACTGGAATTACAGAGAGGGCTGTATTCTAAAGTTGAAGTTTCTTTGTCTAATAAATGATTTCACAAATACCCTTCCCCCTCCCCCCACCCCCTTTTTTCCAGTTTGTCTGATGAATCACCAAATAGGACTAGGACTGCACTAAGACATGGAGAGATATTTAGTATATTCCTTATATCCTTGCACCAGTGTCTAAAAGCCTTTGTTTCCTTTATAATAAGACAGGAAGAAGAACAATTAGTTGCATCATAAATACATCAGCTCTCTTCTTCCTCTTGTATACAGATGTAGAAGAGAACTGATGTTTTCAGTAGTTTATCTCACAGGCACGGAAGTACAAAGAATTGATGTTTTCACTACCTTTCATGCACAGAAGTACCAGAGAATTGATGTGTGCACTACCTTTCATGCACAGAGGTACCAGAGAATTGATGTTTGCACTACCTTTCATGCACAGAAGTACCAGAGAATTGATGTTTGCACTACCTTTCATGCACAAAAGTAACAGAGAATTGATGTTTTCACTACCTGCCTTGCACAGAAGTACCAGAGAATTTATGTTTTCGCTACCTTTCATGCAGAGAAGTACCAGAGAATTTATGTTTTCACTACCTGTCCTTCACAAAAGTACCAGAGAATTGATGCACAGAAGTACCAGAGAATGGATGTTTTCACTACCTCTCATACACAGAATAATCTCAAAACTGTTTTCATTATCTCACAAGCACATGGGTGTTGTACAGCTGTTTACATTAGTTCTCTCACTCACAGATGTACCAAAGAGCGGATGAAATCAGTCAGCTGTTGGACGAACTGATCAGCATGAACGAGGGCACACACATTAACAATGCTTTAGGCTTGGCATTTAAAACAAACCAGTTTAAGGTGAGTCGTTTTGTCTTTGTGTGTGTTATGTTGTCACAGTCGACGTCTTTGCACATTGGGCATCCCCATGCGTACTCAGTCCTCCGATGCAGCAGCCACTCCAAGGTACCTCTGCTGATTGTTCCCATGAGGAGTTGGTTATAGTATCTCCCGTCTATACCTCGAAGATGGCATAGTCATGCTTCACCAAGCTTAACTCCTTGGTCATGCAGTTGTGATAGTGTCAGAGATTCACTATTATCCACAAACCTACTCCATAAAGTGTTAATGATATCAGCTCTGTCCATGCTTCTTCCAATTTGCATTGGTGCATTACTTGCCAGCTGGTCAGCTCTTTCATTATCATTTACTCCTTCGTGCCCAGTTGTGTAGATCCAGATGTTGGAGACTGACTGCGACTTTTGAATGCTTTCTACCCATTCGGAGTGTAAACTACCTGTAGTGATTTTCTGAAGCCTTTGTGTGTGTGCACTTTTATATATGTTTCAACATATTTCTACATGTTTATAGGACTTACTATGTGCATGTACTTCTATGTACATTTGTATGAATTGTTGTATGCCTGTACTTCTACATATATTTGTGTGATTTACTATATGCTTGTACTTTATGTAAAGTTTGTACCACATATGTTTGAATGAGCTGCTGTATGCATGAACTTCTAAATGTTTGAATGAATCGCTGTATTCTTGTATTTCTACACATGTTTGTATGAATTACTGTAAGTATCTACATTTGCATGAATTACTATGTGCTTGTACTACATATGTTTGAATGATTTATTATACTAATGTGCATCTGCATATGTTTTGTATGATTTACTATATTCATGTACTTCTGTATATGTTTGTATGATTTACTGTATACTTGTAAATATGTTTTATTTTATGAATATACTTCTACATATATGTTTGTTTAAATTAATTTATGCGTGTACTTCTAAATTTGTTTGTATGAATTGTTGTATGCATGTACTTCTACATTTATTTGTATAAATTGCTGCATGCATGTAGTTCTACATTGGTTTGTATAAAAAAACTGTATGCATGTACTTCTACATTCGTGTATGCAAATTTCTGTATGCATGTAGTTCTTCATTTGTTTTTATAAATTGCTGTATGCATGTACTTATACATTTGTTTATATAAATTGCTGTATGCATGTACTTCTACATTTGTTTGTATGTATTGGTATATTATGCATTTACTTCTACATTTATTTGTGTAATTTTCTGTATGCATGTACTTCTACATTTGTTTTTGTGTATTGGTGTATGCACGTACTTCTACATTTGTTTGTGTAAATTGCTGTATGCATGAACTTCTACATTTGTTTGTGTGTATTGGTGTATGCATGCACTTCTACATTTGTTTGTGTGTATTGGTGTATGCATGTAGTTCTACATTTGTTTATGTAAATATGCTGTATGCATATACTTCTACATTTGTTTGGTAGATTGGTGTATGCATGTACTTCTACATTTGTTTATATAGATTGCAGTGTACCTGTACTTGTACATTTGTTTATATGAATTACTCATACAAATGGGAGGAACTTCATCCCTGGCCCTAACTGGTATTGTCCTGAGCCAGAATTCCCATACCTCCCTATGGCACAATGAACACTATTGTCTGGATAGATGGGAAGGTGCCAACAAAGAGTATATAATTACATATTTGTATAACCCTGAAAATAACCTCGAACCTATTCTTCTATACACAGTTATACCCATGACTGTTAAAAATATTTATGTAGTGTAGACATGTGTATAGTTGTGTGTATGCCTGCAGACGATCATGTGAACAACTCTATATCTGTACATATTCAAATGTATCTAGTTGTGACTGTGCATACTTCTGTTGCATTAAAGTTTGTGCTTAAAGTTATTCATGAAATAAATATGAATAGCAGATCAATATATTTCAGTGCATGCACACACATATTATCTGTATATCTATTTCTTATTTTACAATCCCAGTCTTCCTTCTTTCTTCCCACAATCCTCCTCTCTTCTTCACTTTCACACCCCTACCGCCATCTTCCCCATTCGTACCCCCTTTCTATATCTTCACCCCTTCTTCTGATTTTAATACCAAATACATTGTGTTTCTCTGTCAGAATCGCCTGGACATCACTCATGCTGCTGTCATTGGTCACTCATTTGGTGGAGCGGCTATGCTAGCTACCTTGGCCACAGACCAAAGATTTAGGTAGGTCTTCTGTCAGGATGTTTTCTGTCTGTCTATGAAGCACTATATGAGTTCTGTCTGCGGTGCTGTTATGACATGCAAGGCAGATACAGTGTTTATATACTTTGCTTAATGTACACCAGAGCATATTTATTTGTAAATTGTCACTTTGAAGCCTATTCCTATGTACCTATACATAAAGTAATAAATAATTACTCCTCCTGCTGTAACCAGATGTATTGTTAAGTAAAAAATGAAGGAATTTTTGCACACTTTCAGGCATGTTCCCTATATGGTTCTATAAGACCATATTTTGTATAGATAGGTCGGAACCTGATGGATGATGTGATCATCATTAGCGGCCTGGTCGGTTTCATTACTTTTAAGAACATTTCCTGTCACCCATTTTCAACTCTGGAACCTTGTTCGGTCTAAAGAACCAGTCTGGATTTTTTGTTCCATTTTAAAAAAAATCATTCAAAATTCAGTTACATATTCAAAAGTTACACGATCTGATGAATGACACATCAGAAGTATTTTATTTACAGTGCATACAGAACATACATCCTCGGTAACTCTCTTTCTTTCCACCTCTTCTCTCCCTGTCTCACTCTCACCTACATTTTCTCAACAAGATTTAATTGCAGTTTACAAATGGTACATCAAGTAAATACTACATATTACACTTGCTCCACCCTTCTTTCACCAGTGAAGCTTCTTACCCTTGCTTCTCTCCCACCTCTCGTTTCACTATCCTTTCTCTTCACCCCGAACTTGTGAAAACTGGTCTCGCTTACTGTAGCCAGGTGGGCCCAAGGTTATTGTAATTTGAATCTAAGACTACTGGCTCAGCAATGACAGTGTGCTAACCAGTCTGCTGTTGCAGGTCCAGTCAGATATATTGGGCCCATGATTTTGTGTCATGACTGTGTAATATGACACAAATATTGTCATATTGGTAATATTGCATACAACTGAATCATTTTTATATTTCTCATATTGTTTAATTATCTTCTTTTCAGATTAGGCATTAGTTTGGATGGGTGGATGCATCCAGTGGATTCATGGATATATGAAACAACAGCACAGCCGGTTTTATTCTTAAATATGGAGAATTTTCAATGGGAACAGAATGTAAAGCGGATGATAGAATTTCAGAAATCGAATAAATCTGCAGATAGACCAATGATAACTCTGATGTAAGTGTGTAAATTGTGTGTCTCTGTATGTTTGTGCATATGTGCATGTGTGTGCATACATATATGTGTATGTCATCAGATGGTTGTCTCCTTTCTCTTTGCATGTATCATAGACAATTTATAATTGTCCCCATGTTCTCTGTGTATATCATACATCTGTAAAATAAAACTGAAAGTTCATGTGTCTGTCTGTTCAGTCTCTCTTACGGGGCCACCTCCCAAACAATGACCAGTAAAGATGTGGAATTTACAGTTCTCATTCTGGCTGCAACTGGTAATTCAGTATATTGTGGGCAGCCAAGGGTTCTACATATTTCTAATAGTTAACGTCAGAATCACTAAAAGTTAACGCTGTAGTTTTCCCCCCTCCAGAATCTACCAGTTATTTTTCAACACCAATTGATAAATTAGTTTGGGGAAACCAGCAACTTATAATTTGCTATTATCTCCTTTTATACTTGAAGCCTGTTTATTTTCCTCAGCACTAGGAGCTGCGTCTGTAGCTTAGGAGTTTGAAGCTTGTGTTTTCCTCAGCACTAGGAGTTGCGTCTGTAGCTTAGGAGTTTGAAGCTTGTGTTTTCCTCAGCACTAGGAGTTGCGTCTGTAGCTTAGGAGTTTGAAGCTTGTGTTTTCCTCAGCACTAGGAGTTGCGTCTGTAGCTTAGGAGTTTGAAGCCTGTTTATTTTCCTCAGCACTAGGAGCTGCGTCTGTAGCTTAGGAGTTTGAAGCTTGTGTTTTCCTCAGCACTAGGAGTTGCGTCTGTAGCTTAGGAGTTTGAAGCTTGTGTTTTCCTCAGCACTAGGAGTTGCGTCTGTAGCTTAGGAGTTTGAAGCTTGTGTTTTCCTCAGCACTAGGAGTTGCGTCTGTAGCTTAGGAGTTTGAAGCTTGTGTTTTCCTCAGCACTAGGAGCTGTGTCTGTAGCTTAGGAGTTTGAAGCTTGTGTTTTCCTCAGCACTAGGAGTTGCGTCTGTAGCTTAGGAGTTTGAAGCTTGTGTTTTCCTCAGCACTAGGAGTTGCGTCTGTAGCTTAGGAGTTTGAAGCTTGTGTTTTCCTCAGCACTAGGAGTTGCGTCTGTAGCTTAGGAGTTGCGAACACGCTTTGTAATGCTGGGACATAAAGGTTCACATATCGAACAATACAACCTAGAAGTTCACATATCTAACAATACAACCTAGAAGTTCACATATCTAACAATACAACAGAGAGATTCACAGATATAATAATAGACCATAGAGGTTCACACATCTTATACTACAGCAAAGAACTTTTGTATGCAGTACAAGATAGAGGTTCACACATCTAATAATATATGATAGAGGTTGACACATTTTATAATACAAGATATAGGTTCACGAATCTAACAGTACAACATTTAGGTTTACATATCTAACAATACAACACACAGGTTCACACATCTAACAATGTAACGTATTATTGCAGTGGTGGATGCCATCAGAGTGTCACAGACTTTCAGTTCATTGTTCCACACATGATGGGTCGGCTCATGGACGTCTGCTACACACTGCCACCATCAGCAAGTATATCATCATGTGTGGATCTAACTCTAGCCTACCTCCACAAGCATCTGGGTAAGGCTTTCAGTTACAGAAACACTACTTGTTGAATAATCTAACAGTTTTGATCAGATATGTGATATGAACAATAAATACAGGATGTACTTTAGAGTGGCTGCTGCATCGGAGGACTGAGCACACATGGGGATGCCCAATATGAATACACGTCGATTGTGATTTCATAACATGAAAGGTTTTCTTCAGCTTCCGGTCTAAAGCGGACGTTTGTGATCGTTACTCTCCATTTCTGTCTTTTGATATTTTAATGTTCTCTCAAAGGCACAGATATCACAGCCTAATTGTAAACTACATCATAGTGTGCCAGCTGCCTTTTTTAGAGTGAACACAGAAGAGCTACCCTGTTTTGTACTAAGCATCTATTACATTAACCTCATCTGTTTAGATTAAAAAGCAACTGATTCAGATCCAGAGTATTAAAATAACTTTGGTTTGTGAGAAAAGACATAAAAACATTGTAGTATCCTTGGAATGACTGAGAAATATATGTTTAGTTGTTAATTACTGAAAAAGAAAATGAAGTTGGTGTTCTTATATTACTATTTGTTATCTCCCTGTGTGGGTTCTGGGGTCCTATTATAGGGAAATCGAGAATAGACCCACTGCCTACCCAAAAGCATGTAATAAAAGTCGAATATTTGGGAGCTTCCTTCAAAATCGGAGTGCATCTGCCTGAGAGGCTAGGAACCAGCAGTATGCATACAAATGAGTCAGATCTGTAAAACGGATGCACACGCAACACTCAGGTTCTGAAACAGGACTGCAGTCCAGAGGTGGATAAACAACCAGAACTTTCTGCCAGAGTTTACAGCTGGTGAACGCAAAGAAGAAGAAGAAGAACTATTTGTTTTCAAGTGGTTAAATCTTTTTATACATCTATCTGTTTCACTCGATCTAATTTTTTTTAGTATTTTCCCACAGCTTTGCAATTGCTCTTAGACATCTTTCTTATTTGGTGGTCCATGGTCCCCCGGTGAAACATGGAACAAATTTAAAGGATCTGAGTTTTGAAGGATCAGTTTGGGGGGGGGGGGGGGGGGGGGGGGGAGATCAGTCCCCATGGCTTCCCTAAACAGGCATGTTGTAAAAGGCGACTAATTATGGTTTAGCTGAATCAGGTGTGTTGGGCTAAAAGATGTAGATATCGCAGCCTAGATGTAAACCACAGTACAATGTGCCAACTGCACTTTTAAGAATAGCTGGCACCCACTTCTAATAGGCAGGGTCTGTCTCAGAGCTGTACAGGCTAGAGAAAAAACACACACTCTAGTCACAGCTGGGGATTGAACCTGGACCCATTGTCTTGTCATGTAAGCAAATTAACTATCCAACCATTCAAGTAAAGTAAGTGAAAGCCCATGGCATCAGACATTTGATGCTAAACATATTTTTTTATAGACATGTCAATACTCAGCGATCAACAACATGCCAACCACCTTTAATTCCCAAGACATTACCTGGAACCTATTTTAGGCTGTGCCATCCTGGAAGCTGAATCATGTTGAAAAAAAATTTATAATACAAATAACAGCCTAAAGCAGATTGAACTCAGGACCTTTGGGCTAGCAGGTGAACATCTAACAGCTATGCTGCCATGACCCCCTTATGTCACCAGTGTTTCAAGTTGAGGTTTTAAACCTCCAGTGAGTAGTTGAATTACCCAGAACTACTGGCTGCATACTTTTTAAACATACACCATAAATGTGTGAATCGTGACACAACTTATGAGAAGTGATTACATGTCTGTTTAATGACAAAACTTACATTTGTATTGACTTATTTGTATTGTAATAATTATGCACTGATACATGTTAATTAAAGACATGTAGTTGATTACTAATGTGTCAAATGTTTGTTTGATGCCGTCAGTTGAGTATAATAACTATGTTATTACATATAAGTGTCTAGAGTAACCTTTGTGTTTCTTTTACAGATTTGCCTCTAGATCAGAAGCATATCAGCATCCTGGAGTGCAAACATCCTCATTTGATGGCAGGCACCAACGTAGACCTGACAGTTCCTGACACAGGACCAACTCCGCCTTGATCTCTCCCTGTCTGCGTGTGTACAACAAAATCTCCCGTCTGTTTGTGATAAAGATAATGCATGAATGGGTGGGATATGAAACATGTAACATTTGTGTGTTGCCAGTCACACTGTTGCGTTCCTGGCATCTGTTCTTCTTTCATGCACTGGTTCTCTGATGCTCATTTGAATCTCCATATTGTAATTTCCTAACCGAAGCATATCGTAAAAGGCAACTAATTATGAGTGTTTCCTTTGAAGTCTGAGTGCATCTGCCTGAGAGGTGAAGAACCAAAACTCTGTATACAAATCAGCCAGATCGGGAAAATGGATATGCACACAAAACTTAAGTTCTGAAACAGGCCAGAGTCCAGAACCCGACGAACAACCAGAACTTTCTTCCAGAGTTTACAGCCAGGGAATGCTTAGAAGAAGAAATACCTCTTACCAAAAATTGTTGAGTCTTAGTGAATTGATCTTGTAAAATCATGAAACAATAGTACAGTTATAAAACAGTTTGTGTTGAAATGGCCACTGTCGTGAAACAGAATAAGAGGACAGAAGATAGGCAGGTAGTATATACCATGTATAGAGTAAATTATAAAATATTTCGTGAGTTGTCTGATACTGAAAGTGAAAAATTAGTATTAAAAACAAAACAGTAAGCTAGTTTAGGATAAACAGCGACTCTATATAGTGTCATTGAAACCATGCTTGTCCCTGGTCATGTAGTTGATGTGATAATTGCAGTAATTAATGCATACAATCTTTAGGTATGTCTCTTTGTTTAAAGATGTGAGAAGCACCGGCATGAAGTGTATGTGGGAACATTTAACATTTTATGACTACAGAGAAGACAGATGTGTCCAAAAATGTCCATGTCCATGATGTCATTTTGGTATGTCATGCTTTTGACAAGTTTTTAACTCTGAATGAAACAGTTGTAATCTTTAAAAAACTCAGTGCCCATAACTTTTTGTGTGGTCTATGAGAATGTTTACTGGTGAGGCGCCCCCCCCTCCAGCATAAAAAAAATGTAGTGCAGTTAGATGAAACAGAGTATAAATGAACCCTTTCTGTCTGGACACTTATGGGGGAAAGAAAGGCGATTTAAAAGCTTCACTAAGATTTGTAATGGATGTCAAAGCCACATTATAGGCATCCAAGGGTGAAAGGTGAAGCCACAGTTGATCACAGTACCATAACAATAATGTGTTTTTAAACTCCAGCAAATTGTATTCTATTCTTATGTTTATATCTGTTAGTTTCTGTCTCATCTGTATTACTGTTTATATAGGATGATTGTGATTTGCCAGGTTAGTTTGGTTCATGCAGAAGCAAAATTTTCATGGCAGAATGTAGTGACACAAACATGATACAGTGTAACACATCTCTCTCTGCATCAGCTCACATCATATACCCAGATTGGTCCAGCATCTCATAAGCATGGCAATAGTTTGTGTTGCCTTTGTGTGTGTGTATGTGTGTACGTACATGTGTGCATGTGCATTCGCTATGAAAAATATAAGCTGGGCTCAGTTATGACTCACCTTTTGTCAGTTTCAAGTGACCTTACAGCAGGGCTATTCAACAAAGTTGACTCAAGGGCCAAAATTAGTAAAATGGGGAATGTCACCTGTCAGAGGCCCGAGTCCCAGCATGATCTGCGGGCCATTTGTCAGGTCTCTGCAGGCCAGATTTAGCCCATGGGCCGCCAGTTGAATAGCCCTGCCTTTCAGCATATGTTCACTCATGCTTTTGCATTAATTCTTCCGTCCAGTATTAGATGGTGCAAGATGAGACAGAGTTGTTGTTCTAGTACACCTGTATCCTGTTTGGGTGTCTAAGATTTGGGTATCTAGGTGGTGTGGGGGGTCAAGCCGTTTACCCCTTGTTTTGAAGGTTGTGAATTAGATTTCTGACTGTCATTTGGTTCATGAATGCAGTTTATTTTCTGAGATCCCAGGAGATTGTCTCTGGAGCTAAGGCATACATGCTGTGATTGACAGATCCCTTGTGATTGTCTCTGGAGCTAAGGCATACAAGCTGTGACAGATCCCTTGTGATTGTCTCTGGAGCAAAGGCATACATGCTGTGACAGATCCCTTGTGATTGTCTCTGGAGCAAAGGCATTCATGCTGTGAGTAACACTCATGGCAGGCAGGCAGCCACTCTGTGGATAGACTGAGCCAGGTGAGATATTACAACTCTGTGCTATGAAGCCTATCCTAGCACCTTCATTACTCTGAGGTTTGAGATGATTCACTAGCTTTTGTTAAGAAATTCTTTATTGTGTGTGATAAAGAATTTTTTTTTTAAATGCAAAAGTTGGTTGTCTGAAAAGACTAGGTATTAAATCATCTCAGATCAACTCAGAGAACAAGAGCTTGTAGTTTGCTGTCTTTCAGTTCTTTTGAGCAAAATTATTGAGAACTACTTATGCGTTTTCCAACAATTGATGAAACGAGGGTTTGACTGCAGTCATGCTGATGCCAGGAAAGTGGTCCACTGAACTGTGACTAAGATGTTTAACGAAGAGGGGCAGGAGAACAGCACACACAAGAAAGATTGATGAACTTTTCGGCAGAAGTCATTATCAACAAAAGCTACAGTGAATGATTATACCGATAATGGCTTTTGCAGAAACATTTAATTTTCTTGTTTATGTGTGCTTGTTTTGTTTGTTTGTTCCTCCTTCCTGCTTTTGGTTAAGTATTTTCTTCGTCACAGTTTGGTGGATGATTCATTTCTTGGCATGACAGTTTAGTTTAGACAAGGCCTATCTATTCAATGTAAAAGATGCCATGAGTTTTTTAAAATCTACTACAGCCAACCTTCACTGTGAAGATGACACTTGATTGTTCGACCCCAGGATTGTCATCACATTGCTTCTTGTGATAAATGTGTTTGTAAACTGGTCACACTTGAGTTTGTATAAATGTTGCATTTCTTGCTGTGTGTAGACTTTAATTCCAGTAAATGTGTTTATCCCCTCAGTAAATATTTCCCATTTGGTGGTCGATGAACCCACCGGGATCCGCAAAACAGATTTAAGGAGTCTGTGATATCATTCTTAATTTAAAAAAAAGAAAAAAAAAAAAAACCTCAGCTTTAGAATGAAATCCCTTTTTAAAGGTTTGTGTAATTTACTTTTTATTTTGAATTGAGTGTGAAAGTGTGAAAAAGTCTGGGTCAGTGGCTGATTTTCAGAAAAAAAGAGAGGTCTACAGGTGTAAGCAACTTGAGAACCACTGGTGTACGTTGTTTATGAAACCAAATCCATGATATACAACATTATACAGGGAATTTTGGAAATATATAACAGGGTTGAATAAATAATCTCCTTCAGGGGAATTTCTCATTCCATCTTTCATCTTTCATTTCTCAGCAGGGCCTAGACCCTCAACCCACTGATAGACTTGTCCTTAAGTGGTTGGATTTTTCTAGGTAGTATTCTATAAAGGTAAAGTCAGAAGATGTGAACCAGCGCCATTGCACACGGTTATAAACTATAAGTGCTCTGCCACCAGTACGGACAGCTGATAAGAAACTGTCCGCCTGTGTCGCTGTCCACACGCAACTCGGTAGCTACAGCGACGTTCCTCCATTTTACCCAAGAGTGTTAACTCTGGTGCCCATTACCTAGAAGCTGGATGAATGCCGGGAAATGCCTGGTTTCGAACACTGGCCGTGGGCTGCAGCGAGTCGCAGCTGGATTTGAAAGTGAATCTCTTATCGACTGCGCTATATGGAATGAGGTAGTCAAAAGCTAACTTAGTTGCCTGGTAGATTATAGTATTACTTCTCATTGCTTTCTTCATGAGCCATGCTCACACACTGGTGTTCTGACTGACTGTGACAGGTGAATTATCTTCACGGCACTCCAGACAAGTCCAAGGTGCTCAACATATACATCAGTGTCCTGTGGTTAATTGAGCCAGTCCTAACACAACTTCTTATACGTCCAGTGTGCCTCTCATGCTAGGCTGTGCCAATCTTCACTCCCAATTCTTGCATTCTAAGCAGTGATGTGGACACATTGCTCACAGAATCATCCGATTGTCCTGTCTCTCTAGGGCATTAATAATGGCGGCTGGCCATCTGCAGCTAAGGCAGAACCCGGCCAGTCTGTCAGTTCTTTCATTGCCGATAACATCCACATGTCCTGGGAAGTCTATGACATATGTTGTTGTCAACCCCTTTCCATGTGTTACCAATCATTTCTGGTACAGATATTTCTCAGTACCATAGTTGTCAGTATCTTGTCTTTTTCTCTTCCTTTCCCACTTGCTGTTGTATGTTATCATATTACAATGGTAAAAGACATGAACTCATTCAGAAACATTTCTCATTGTGACATATTCAAAGCTTAGATAGCAGCTGCTTCTGACCTAGGCTCCTGGATCGACCAAGGCTTAAAACTGTATGCCAGGAAATGTTATGGGAACTAAAGGCAGCCAGCATGATACTGTCTGGATCCCCCATTTGGTGCTAAATGGTCTTAAAAAAATATGGCTCTAAAATTATGTCTGATGTGCCTTAAGATGTGAAAATGGGTACTTTTCCTTTGTGAAGAAAACTGGGCACTCATTTAAAATAGTGGGCCTGCCATGAAAATGCATTGATGGTGTTGAAAGATGAAATGAGTTCCATAAAAAGGCCACATCAGCCATCAGGTGAGATTTGGTCCAGACAATGTAAGCCTAGCACTGGAAGCCTAATGCAGCAGACATAAACTGGAGGATCTTGTGATGACTGGAATGATTTGTGGAAAGAGAGACACAGGAAGACAACACAAAAGGATTGTGGACAACACATTTTGTCATGGCATAAAAGGCTGTCAGTACATGACAACATGCTGTTGGGGATAGCATCATGGCATATGCCAGTTGGCAAGACAGTTCATGACGATGATAATTACGTACCATATAGATGTGGGGTCTTTATGTTTTACCATGACAGTTGTTATTGTACAGTGTGATAATGAAGAGCAAAAATAAGTTTTTATTTTTGCTCTGATA